TATCGAAAACCTAGGTGAACGCCTGCAGATAATAATGGATGCTGGAGGCTCCCACAATGAAAATGTGTTTTTATAATGAAAAACTCCCAAACATCCTGTGTTTTGTAAGCTATAATTCCAAATTCCAAGGAGATTTTTGGCATAGAATGTTTCCTCATTGCCACGGATTCGTTTGACCTAAACAGTCAATGATGGGTGGAAGCCAATTTGATTACTTCGACATTCCGCCGGCATCATCTTTAGTAAAAAATCGGTGATGACCCTTGGTTATGGCAATATATATCGCGAGATAATCCTTTCCTTTGGAGAGCTACATAGAATCCTAGCTTATCTGAGGACTGCTTCAAGACTACATTTTGTTGATAATATGTTAATCATAAGCATATTCAGAAGTCATACTTGCCTCTTGTGATCTTGCTTTGTGAGGCGAATTTTATATTAAAGAAAGACCATAATCAACATATATAATCCACATATAAATAGCCTCTTCGGTGTTCATATTGTTTCCGACAATTTCATCGGAAGAATGTATGAAACGAACTGAAACATGAACTGCAACGGGTTGGATCGAATTGCAGGAACACAACGATTCCTGACGGGCAACGGCCATAATCCACCAATCTTAAGGGAGAATGAATTGTTGGACGTTCCTGCTTTTCCTCATTCCTGGGATCGTCACCGTCAAGGCGAAAGCATTAAATCATCGATCCTGGGGCTCAGGAGAATTGGCTCGTGAGTTCAAAACACTACACTATAGAGGGTTTTAAACTGTAGTTAGGAACATTGGGAATGTAGAAAAAGAAATGAAAATAAGTTTTTAAAAAATGAGATTTTTATGTTAATCCTTTGATGAGATTGTTTAGTTTTCTATTCCATCCATCTCATTTCATGCCGTCAATATCAAACCCTCTCTAGATTAGTATGCAGGTTTTTGAGAAAAAAATGTAGCAGGTGTGGTATGATTCCCAAATGTCTCGCAGGAATGCAACCCCAAGGAGGGATTCTGGGCGACTATGGACAATACATATTTGGAAGCGGGCAAGACATCAAGCTCCTCTGCACTTTGACAGATGCTGGATTGAATGAGGGACTCAAAACCAGTGACCTCAGATTCAAGACACCCTCTGGTGACGTCGTGAAGCCTAGCCTCATCTCGAATAACGCAACGGTGTTGTTAATTATCGTTAATGCAACTGCACCTGCTTCCGGTCGGTATTATTGCGGGAACGTTTCCGACGACGAGAAGTTCTCCATGCTTCACACTGTGCCCTTGGAAATCGGCTGTAAGATGCATTCCCTTCTTGACGGTTTCTTTTGCTTGAGTAGTAGATAAGGCAATGTGATTGTGACAGTTCCCCCGCTGAAGTTGAAATCCTGGCGTTGTTGGTCGAAGCAGTTGGAGCTACTCTATTGCCATTGGTCGAAACTGGAGAATCCCGTTTGGACGGATTATTTTTTCTACATACAGACCGATGGGTACTCACATTCCACACAATCAATTAACTAACCATGTACTTCTAAATCCCCTGATCCTAACAAAACTAATGCGATAAAAGGACGAAGATGACAGAATGCCGGCAGGCGGATCCTGCTAAAGAGGAATGCGNGATAGTGGACGGATTCTCATGAAAATGTATATGCCAAGAGACTTTTAAAGAGATCTACCAGAGGAATTTTTGAAATTCAGCCTCATTTTCGAGTATCGTCCGTCAACGTCACGTCCCTTCCAAAAAAGTGCATTTTTCAGGCTGATCACCGAACACCGAGGGGGAACGGTAGGAGGAAACCATGCGCAACTCCGCAAAAAGGTGGACCATATTAGCCTCCAAAAACTGGAGCATGCTTTTGCCGATAGAAAATTTCTACGAGAAATGAGAACGAAAAAACAGAATCCGAAAACGGAAAAATTCTCAGTCATGGCGTCATGGCGTCTCGGGAACGACAGTTGCATACGAGTATTTATTTGTTGCATATAGCGCTGTATGTCTCGAGGAGAATGGTGCAAATTTCACGTTTCTGCCACCGAGGGTTGGGGAGATGGAGATTTTCAAAGAGAAGCATGCAAATTTTGACCTTTGACCACAGATCATGGCCCCGGGGGTGACCTGAGAGAGAGCCAGCGATCGGCTCCAAGACCCTTTCTTGAGGTCCGTTACAACAATTATAGAGCGGAATTTTGATCCAGGGGGGTCGATTTTTATGTTCCCGTAGTACCTTAAACGTTCTTTAGTTACAGCACTCAGAAGCATAATGCAAGAAACTCCTGAACAATGCTATTTAAAACGCTGATGTAGGTTACCGACAGATTATCCCAAGGAACGATAAAAACTTCAAATGACTCCCTCAACTTGAAAAACTTCTTGAGTTTATCTATTATATGACATATCATTTAATTTTCTAAATTAATAAATAATGAAGATACAGGTTAATGAAATGTAAAAAACATTTTTGTGCGAAATCATGTGCACTAATTAGGCCAAATTAAGCGATTCTCATACCGATGTATGACATTAAAAGCAAGTTTAAACTTTATACACCTTTTGTCGTCACCCCTATGGCATATTTTTTTTTTAAGCTCATATCCCTCCAGAGGTCTTCCTCCCTGTTGGCACTTCATCGAATCCTAAAAGAGACGCATGAGCGTTTAGCGGAGACTCATAATGTAGACGATATGAAAGGCCTAAGCTGTATCGTCTTCAACGAACACAACGATCTCTATTGTGGAATTTTTTTTTATCATACCAGATGAAGAATCTTTTGATCCAAGATTCCATTCCATAGTTCTCCCATGCATTTATGCATAAAAATTCGTGGCGCCTCTGAGGTGGCCACTAGTCAAATCAGCTGTCCACCAAAATTATGCGATGTGTAAACATCTTGCTGCAGAGAGTTCATCGTAAGAACTCGTGAAAGGACCTGGATCTTGATCCAAGTAGCAAGGGATCATCCCTGGGACATCCCATTTGGATCATACGTGAGACAAAATTACATTCAGTTCATGTCATTGTGAAATCGCCCTAATATGTGGAAATCCCTGGAACATCAAGAGGACATTCCGTAAGGTAAGGAATACCCTTGTCCTATACACCACATCCCTCGTATGTGACAAGAGTATTCCTTACCTTAGGATGTCCTCTGGACGTTCCAGGGATTTCCACATCCGAAGGACGATTTTATAATGACATCCATGGGTTGTCATTTTGTCTCACGTAGGATCCAAATGCATGTCTCAGGGATGTCCTACTGTTCATTAGAGAATTGACACGAGTTAGATGGAACTGAAGGAATTCCATGGTTCCTCACAGACTAAGGGCCCTACTCAATCGATGTACTTGAAGACAGAATGCGGTGTTGGGCGTTCTTCCTTTTCGTCGCTCCTGGGATCTTCACCGTCGTGACAAAAGCGATAAATCATCGGTCCTGGGCCTTAGGAGAATTGGCTCGTGAGTCCAAAGCACACTACACGGTAGATTTCCAACTTTATTCTGGAACGACTTGATCATAGAGAAAACAACGAATGTAAATATACGTTCAAGCAAAAGGATTTCAAGTCTCTTTTCAAAGAAAGAAAGTTTAGCTCTCCACATTTCATTTTCAATTTCATGTCCTCAACGACAAACACTCACTAGTTTGATGTGCATATTTATGAAAAATAATATGCCCGCCATAATTCTAAAATGATTTTCAGGAATACAGCCGGAAGGAGGGATTCTGGGTGACCTTGGACAATACATATTTGGAAGCGGGCAAGACATCAAGCTCCTCTGCACTTTGACAGACGCTGGATTGAATGAGGGACTCAAAACCAGTGACCTCAGATTCAAGACACCCTCTGGTGACGTCGTGAAGCCTAACCTCATCTCGAATAACGCAACGATGTTGTTAATTATCGTTAATGCAACTGCACCTGCTTCCGGTCGGTATTATTGCGGGAACGTTTCCGACGACGAGAAGTTCTCCATGCTTCACACTGTGCCCTTGGAAATCGGCTGTAAGATGCATTCCCTTCTTGACGGTTTCTTTTGCTTGAGTAGTAGATAAGGCAATGTGATTGTGACAGTTCCCCCGCTGAAGTTGAAATCCTGGCGTTGTTGGTCGAAGCAGTTGGAGCTACTCTATTGCCATTGGTCGAAACTGGAGAATCCCGTTTGGACGGATTATTTTTTCTACATACAGACCGATGGGTACTCACATTCCACACAATCAATTAACTAACCATGTACTTCTAAATCCCCTGATCCTAACAAAACTAATGCGATAAAAGGACGAAGATGACAGAATGCCGGCAGGCGGATCCTGCTAAAGAGGAATGCGAGGCGAAGAAAGGCCAGACTCCTCCTTATCGTCCCGGTGAGACAGAAGCGAACATCACAGTGAAAGCCCAGAATGTGCTCGGCCATAGAGTCTTCACTTACCCCTTCGATCACTACCGGAACAGTGAGTCTGGTCCCGAGTCCCATTTATAAGGGTCATCTTTGGTCAGAAGTGAAAAGAGTTACGACCATATTTACAGATTTGATAACTGAGCTATTACACAAAAATTAAAATTATTTGAATATTGATGAAAAGTCAAAATTAAAGTTCAACTTCAAACTGTCTTTTCATTTCCATATTTCTATGGCATAGGCATGCCCTATAGACGCATTAGTGATAAGGTGCAGGGAAATGAAACATTCTGAGTCTGCATGATACTGTTTATCATGTAACCAAAATCATAGTTAATGCTCATTTCAATGTAGGTAAGATCCAGGCGTTAGAGAATGCCGCCTTGCGGGCAGTGGATGCGGAGACACTAGACGTCACCTGGGATCTCCCGGCTGACCTGCATTTCTACAACGTCTCCATCGTCCATAACATTCGATGGGTTCCCCGCTCGTGGCCCGAGGAGCTTCATTACGTCAGCGTACGTTTATCCTACGATAACGTTCGATTTCTCTGGTTCGGAAATGATGAAAGGTGGGGATGGACCATCCAATTGATTTTATCGAAATGAATGTGGAAATGATCACTCCGATCGCATCTCCGAGCTCACGTCACTCCTTTCTCATATAAACCCCATTTAACTGTCATCCCAAGATTACTCTTATTGTACCGGGTTCATAAAAGGATGACCAAGGTCAGTTGGGCTCTGGGAAACAGTGCTTTCCATGATCCAAATATTTAATGCGATTTAAGCTTCCTCCGTAGATTTTTGTTGTGGCTCATTTATGATGCGGCTGAGCGCATAACGCTAAGAAATCTGTTTCATTATAAATCCTCGGCTTAGATTGACGAACGAAATACCAAGGACGTTGAGCGATTCATTTAACGAGAACGAAATGAATAGGAATTTTGGAGGCGTGCAATAAATACGCATACTAGGACAAGAAATCGACGGGAGCGGTAAGAGCATGTCAGAGCTGAACCACACGTCAACATTGCTAACATGTTACTGTAGCTATAATCCTGTCGATACGATAACCTACTCCACCAACCGTTCTTTTTTAAAGTGTTGACCACGGAATTGGAACAGGGTTTTCAACTGTTATTCAGGAGACGAATTACACGATCCCAGGAGCTTCAATACAGAAGTCCTGGAACTATACTTTGACCGACCTCATACCTCATACCGTCTATCATGTCGAGATCAAGGCCGTTGTATTAGAAGCAGAATTCCTGGATCTCTGGTCTAATACTTCTGAGGCCTACAAAGGAACTCTGCCTAAAGGTACCCAGTCAGTAAACGCATCTTTTATTTATTCTTTTCTACTGTGCCCATCTTTCACTGGATTTAGAGCAAGGTTTTTGATTGGGATAATTCCATGTCAATTGCATAGCACCAGACAGGAGCCCAGAAGTGCCGATAGGAAGCTTCCACGTAAATCGGATTGGCGGGAGCCTTAGAGATATTTACCTTTACTGGATCCCTCTCAAGGACTGGGAGCATTACTCAGACAACTTCTCCTATCTGGTAAGATCATTTGGAACGTGAGAAATAAAAGCGACCTATTTTAGCATGGAATGTAAATTTCTAAATTAAAGGATGAACGTTTTGATCCGTCCTGCTAAGAAAGAAACGTCTTCTTTTATGGATGAGTTTTCACTTGAGAGAAATTCACGCAAATGTTCTCGTCATTGAGAAAGAACTGTCCTTCGTAAAAAAAAAAGTGTCCTTCATAATGAAAACCCTTGCATCACATGGAAAAGAGGTCGGGGTGAACGAAGACTTGCTCATGTGCTGCAGGTAGAAGGGCTGGAAATGCCAACAAAGAAGAAGGTCCAGCCGGAATTTGTGTGGAACACATCCGCCGTGTTCAGGAACCTGAGCGCCGAGTCATCCTATCAATTCTACATCGTTTCCAGCAACGAAATGGGAATGTCTCCACAAAGGTCCATCATTGGCGTCGACAAGGAAAAGAACCGTGAGCGTCCCTTTCGATTAACTCTTCGAAGGGTTATCGTAATTGATATTGTGACTCTTCTCATACAATATCGCACTTGTCATTATGGTGACACATAACTTGGCCTTTTAAATTCTCATGGGCAACAGGGATCCCAAGTCCGACTATCCGGAAAGAGACCTTAACGGATGATGGGAGGTATTTGCTTGAATGGAAAGCACCTGCAGAAGGGACGACGACAAATTTCACTGTGTTTTGGTGTCCTTCCCCTCCACCTTGGCCCACCTGTGATTCGAACATCAACTGGTTGCTTGTTTCCAAGTACAACACCACGTTCGAGTTGGAATCAACCGTATCCTTCAAATTCGCTGTGTCGGCCAACGGAGAATTTGGGCACAGTGGAATGGGTTGGGAGAGGACAGAGCATGAGCCAGAATCAGGTGAACCTTTTCCTCACTGTGCACAAGGGGGGAAAAAGTGCAAGAATTGAATTGACTAGCTGCTGATTCTGTTGCATGCAATCCTTCGTCTATATTTAGCTGAAATTGATCAAATCTCAACTGAAATTCCCGATGCAGGTCTGAATCTCCTTGCGTCTGCTCTGATGATCGCTGTCTTCATTGTGGCGGTCTTGGTCGCATCAATCATACTGGGTAACAGAAGGTTGCATTTACAAATAATTTCCCTGCATATGTGAGTTTCCATAAAGTTTTTCTCCGGCAGCATTATTGGGTCTTGGATGTATATTTTCCCTTGCTTTCCAGGCTGAAGACACCATTTCACGAGATGAGGGATATCCACGCAATCCTGGGAAATTCTAAGGAAATTCTTTGACATGAATATACATTTTTTTCCCGAACATACGAGTATAACACTCCCAAGCCTAAAATCAATGCAAATCGATGCATGCTAGTCACTCCTTCAGATGGATGGGAACGATTAAATTCAGCCTTTCCGTATGAAACTGAGTTAGTATGAATGAGACCAACTCTGGGAGCCGCTATTTGCACGCTAGAGGATGCAGGTTCACATACAAATAAACAGGTTTACTTCTTGGCAGTGTCTGACCCTCTCTGTTTCCAAAGAAAAACCAATCCTACTTTCAACCACCAAAGGGAAAGAATGAATATTCTCGTAAATATAAACGCTCTTCCACCGAAAAATCCCATAAATTATACATTACAGTCAATGAAACGAAAAAAAATCAATATGAGTTATACGAGTCATTCGCTTCTCAGACTTTTTTTTGCCGAGAAATCACTGTACCCTCGATGGATCAAAGGCTCTTCAAGTGATTAGACAGAACCATGGAACGATGGAAAGGCTGCAAAGCCCAAATTCCCATTTTAATCAAAGTTCAGATGGACATGTAATACCAGTAGGTCTATATATGTCACGGAGCCGCTGCGGTCGGTGTAACGGGATTGGTAAATTAACATGAATGTCGGCTGTGGCCAAGGTGATTGGCTCTGATTTGCCAAGTTAAAGACAGGAGGAGCAATGATCAGCCTCACTGCCGAGCAAAAATTCCAACAAAAACACAATACCAACTAAGCGTGCGTGGAGAAGGTTAAACGAAGAATGAAGGGAATCGTTTGAAGAGAGCGGGATTTAGCAAGCTGCTTGAAAGGATCCAGAGCAGATCTGCTGAAAGGACTGCAGAAGACCGAATGGAACGCCCAGCCAGCTGGGACGTCTTGAGCATCACATGAATGGAAGGTTAGTTTAAAACATTGCTCCGCATAAACCATAACCACATTTTTGGTCTTCACAAACTCGAAAAATCCAGTCCCCCTCCCTTAAATTCTTGGATCCACCACTGGACTTGTGACGTTTTCGTCGCGATTCACGAGACCCTTTTCAAAACGACGTCGACGTGGGCTACTAATCCTCTCAAGCCGGATGAGAACACCACAGCCTCGAAGCGAGCGACACCTATTAACAATGGCCTTATAGCAATAATCTACGACGTTCTCAGTAGAGGGCGAAAGGAATTTATTTTCCTTCCAGATCCATTCCTTGTTGAGACTCCTGATAGAGACCGAATGGTCCCCGGCAGAAAGGGATTTCTTCACGACGAAATGTATGACTACTTCACGAATAAATCAAAGATGATGCACTGGAAATCTTGAACTGAATCGTGCAGAACACCCGATGACAAACATTAACAAACATTAAGTCACAACATATTCTATCACCAGTTTTCAAAGAATGTGCAAGAAGGCATGGAGAGGAGGGGAAGGTAATCACAAAAATTGCAAGTTGTTCATTTTAGCACCTTATAGCACCTCATGGCGTGCACTTTACGAGTGAAGCACCACCAGATTTCCCTTGTAAGCAACGATCTCGTTCGTGGCGACGGGTGATGAAGCGGACGATGGGACAACGCGACCCAAGAGGTGCCGTGACCGAGACGAGACTGCGGTTACAACTAGGGACTTTGTTCCGGGTGAGGGGGGGGGGGGGGGGGGGAATTCACGATTGTCTGGTGCAAGTTCTGAGAACGCATCTAAAGCTAAAGAGTCATATCATTAAATTCTTAGAAATTCTACTCTTTCCTGTTTCGGCTAGCATCACAAAGCCATCCATTTATGGTGCACAATAAAGAGAATATTTTTAATAAGGAAAGATACGATAAGATATGACGTTATCTCTTACACCGGTCAAAAACGTGCTCTTTGTCTTCTAGGACTACTCATGGTCAAATGCATCCGGTTTAGCAGACGGACTTTGGTTTTCTCCTGGAAAATTCTTTACCGATTGCCATTTAACCATTTCTCTCGATTCCGGAAAGGCTTATGAAATTCACGGTATCGCGATCCTCACAGCCGTTGGGCAGAAGTAACACGAGAAAGTGAGGAATTCCACGAGAGTTGCGTTCTGTGATCCGTTTTTGGCCGCAGAAGGCACGAATGGCAGCGAAATTCATCGCAAACTCAGGGCAGTCGACGAAGACAACTTTCTTGCAAGAAGCAATGCCTACGATTGGATGCGAAAGTTCCGAATTGGAACGACGAGTGTTGCAGACGCCGTTCGGGCCGGCAACACTTGTCGTTCCATTGTCGTTATACAGGAACCATTCATGTAACTTAGGGATTTCTTGAAAACGGTATCGAAAAATCTTGAAAGCGATTGATCTACCGGAATATCGAAGGAATGTGATGAGGATAATGATCACAAATCCGATAGCCTGATAAATTTGACAGCATAAAACACTTTGCCAGAGCAGTTGCGACATCAGGATGCGACTCATCTCGTGAGAATCGCCAATCCTCAAGGCCTAATTTCGAAATGTCGTGAAGGACGCAGAAAAATGCTCAGCTCGTTCTTCGATGTTTCGTCGCGATGGACGAGAATGGAGACTCGGGATGCGAATGTGGACAGAGCTGCCTCTTAGCGTTCTGCCGAAGTTTTCGAACCTTTGGGCCCGGCACGACGGATGTGACGCGCTTCAGATGGAGTGCATTTTCGCCGAGGGTCCCAGTCTCCCCTGCCGGCACATAGTCTGAGGTCGCTTCGTGACGTACTGCGCGGATCTCGGAAAAAGATTCATCGAAGGTAAAATTTCAAACAGCAAATTTATTTGGATATCTAGACTTATACTCGTACTGCTTTCGTGAAATTGGCAAGCGTGTGCCGTGGAAGTGGAGTCTTTCTTGCGTCTCAATGGATGCCGCGAAATATCACCAACGGTTAAGGGCGCGAAAGAACCACTAGACACCTGCTTCACATACCAGCTGGTTCGATACGGAAGTTGTCCACCAAATAGCGATCGCCCTGTACTGTAGACATGCAGCACGCATTCAGCTGCACGAGCTCGCCCAGGTAGGGGAACGCTTTCGTCGTAAGCCGCGTTTCACAGGATGATGGTGATGATGAAGGGTTTATTTCAAATGGGAGGGGTAGTGCGAAAGCAAATTGATCTCCCGCGTCAGGCATACAGGAACGAGTACAAAAGCAAAAATGAGTCAGGATAAGGAGAAAGAAAAAACAGGTAAAAGCATGAGGATGTTATGGTCACAGAGAGGGGGGGGGGGGGGGGGG